ACAACCGCTTCACGTTCATAACTACTAGAAGGTCAGGAAAAGAGTTTGTACCGCAGAGAACCCAAAGGGAGCGTTCCAGCTGCAAACTCATTACTGCCAAACAGACAGAGACATTCCCAAAGAGAAAATGCACCAATGTAATGTCCTGTTTGCCAAAATAATACGATTCCACGCAGCAGCAGGCGGCCCAGGACAGCCTGCCTAGCCCAAGCAAGCAAAAACTGTCTATCAGTGAGACCTCAATTCTACTGAGGAGAAAGCAAACGTATCTAAGCACGCTGTCTCAAGTCAGCACTTGTTAATAGGGATTCAACCTGCATGACGGAAGAAAAGAAAAAATGAATAGTCAATTTTAGTCAAACTCCTTGCACTCCCCAGGAACCTTCAGTGAGCTGGACAAATGGGAAAGGTGACATGTTTTGCATTAACCTATGCCAGCTTAAGCTGGGACAGCTGCGCCCCTCTCACCACGTTCCTACCCTCTCTTGAGCAAACACCAGCATTCATGCAACCGCACGGTGTGCCACTTCAGAGAGCTGAGCCAGCTGAAAGCTAACCTACCAGAAAAAACTATCAGTTTTCTGCAAATTCAACTCTCTGAGCTGACTTGCTGCTTGATCACACAGGCACCAGCTCACAGGCAAAGGAATGCCCGGCTGGAGTCGTGGAAGCCCCAAACCATATGGGCTCAAGCTGCCACAGAACCGCGCCACGGCAGCGCTGCTAACCACAAACAGAGAGATACTCTGCAAACAAGGGGAGCGTAGCGTAAGTGTAATTCCAGTGTGCAGCAACAGATCACACGCTTTAGATTCCAGTCACTCTGGCAGCCTCTGTGATATACGAGGACAGCACAAGGGACTATTTCACAAGCCAGTTCTCACATCTCCCTTTCTTTTTGCTCGAGTCCGTCTGACTAAACGGAACGGGAACACCAAGCTGCCACCTGCAGAGGACGGAAATGGAAGTTAGCTCTTATACTAGAACTTAGCACGTGCCTATTGCCAGAGCAACAGGAGAAAATAATATAGAGATTTTTGAAGAGCATGTTCCTCGGTCTACTTTCCCTTTTCCTAACTCCAGCAGAGGTCCTCAGTCACTACGCAGCAGAATCGGCATTGCTCTGGGACACAGCACCCTTTCTGAAGGGAGGTTCTTGAAAGCCAAGAATGTCTGCTATGAAACAGTTATTTATACTGAGCTTTCGCACAGGGGCTAAAGAACTGCGGCCTTGTATTTAAAGGCCCTTTAACCGATGCTTCATCTTACACAGCCGCTTAGCTAGAGTCTCTCCACTGACCCCTGACTCCCTCCCTGGAAAACTTTCAGGACGCAAAGCGAACAAGGAGCAGCCTTTCATGGCAAGGCAGTGACCGAGCGAAGCCCTGGGCTGGCGCCCAGCGAAGCCCGTGCCTCCGCTCAGGCTGTGCGAAGCCCGGAGCGGGCCCCGGAGGAGCCCAGGGGACAGGCCCGCAACACCGCGGCTGCCAGCGGGCCCCGACCGAGCCAGCTAACGCACCCGAGGCCTGCGGCGGGGCACGGGGCAACACGGGAGCACC